AAAAGACTTTCCACCGATGATTGTATAGTATATACCAGTATTGGCTCGTCTACGGTTAAAAATATTCTACAGAACGACCTAAACTGTTTATGGATCTGGGCGTGCAGAAATAAGATGGAATTAAATCTAGAAAAGAGTAAGAACCATTTGCTCTACCAAGTCTCGCTTGAATATACACTCAAATTATGAGTAAGGAACTAATGTTATACCATGTGTAAAAGTCTAAGAATTTGAGTTTGGTTTTGGGGTTTTCTGCGAAGCGACTTAGGTTGGTCGGATCACATTACCAAAACGGTCAAAACATCCTGGAGGGCGCTGCACTTTGTAATGCTGTGTTCTTAAGTAAACAGTAGTTCAAATGCCCGATCCTTTGCATGTACTACACTTGTTCGTCCTATTTTAAAATTAGATTGTTGAATTCTAATTCTATTTGTAATCAATCATTTTTGCCACCGAGCATTAGCTCCAAGAGAACTTTAATAAATTTATCTATCTTTTTATCTATCAATCTATCTATGATCTATTGCATTAACGTCGCACATTCAGGTTGGGAAAATGACTCTTGTATGTTAAACGAGCAATCAGCTCGTGAGAGAATATACGTGTAATATAAAATACGAACTGTAAACCTGCTAATTAAAACCCGTAAGAAATAAACAATAAATCTGTAATGAACAAAAACAATAGAATCGTTAGAATAGTTTGTCATATAGTGCAAGTGTTATTTATCTTTTTGTCTATATTAAACAATTTCCTTATTTTATTCATATTTAAAATTATTGTTACCTATTACATTGGATGATTCTCTCGGTTTGCAGGTTTTCATATTGGTTATTATTTAAGACATTCCTGCATTTGTGACTTGTTCCAAATCACGGAAATTATCGTTTCATGCGTCGTCCTACGGCAATACTTTGTAATCGTGCATTTCCGCATCGATACTAGCAATCTGTTGGTTTGCTCCTAAAATGCCTTCGTAAGAAGAGAAAGTTATGTTATCGCTCGCCGAAAAACAGCGAAATTTTTATATTTATATTTTTGCTTTCTCCCTTACGAAGGTGCCCCGAAAGAAGAGAAAGATCGTAGACTGTAAAATGGCGAACGTTTTACTTGATTGTCGCCACACACTATAATCTGTGCAGAAACAAAGCAAAATATCAGACCCACGGAACTCTCCAATGTGGTAGTTGACTCGGTATTTCAGTTGGGTTGTTAACTGCATGTAAAGTTTGAGACCTGGAATCGATTCCCTGCCAGAGAAAAAATACTATTAAAAATCAGGATTCATATTAGTAGAAATTATTTGTTATTTCTTTTGATACTAGTAAGTATTGCACTTGTAATACCAGTACCGAAACCTGGAAAAGAGAAAACGAAAGCTTCTAGCTAAAGACCTAACTCCCTTACGTCAAACGTCTGATATCTCACAGAAAATATAATAATCTTACGCCCAACGCCGTTCCGATTTTTTTAACATCAGAATATAATTAGAAGTACGCAATTTGGTTTTTGCCACGGAAACTCTACTGTATTGCATTTGATTACCGTGAAATATTCAAAGAGCATTTGAGAGCAATCAACACACGCTAGCAATATGTTTAAATATAGAAAAAAACATATTATATACTTTGGATTCGTTATATTTTTGTACAATTGAAAAGACATGAGAATAAAAAAGCTGTTTGAATTTATGAAACATTTACTTAAAAAATTCAGCATTAGAACAAGAGCCAACAACGAACTGTTTGAGGGGAAAAAATGAAAACTGCTTCCCCAATGATGTGTGTTAGCCTCATACTTTCTTAATAGCTATAAATGAGGCTGATAAAAATATTCAACTACCAGTAATTGAAAGGAGAGTTGTTGACAATGTAACAATTCTATGTAAAAGGAAAAAACATTATTTCTACCAAATAAAGAATTAAAAAAGCTCTAGACCACTTACATGACTGATCTCAAGAACTTCAAATTTTCTGACCAGAAACCGGAATGTATTAACTTCTCTGTATTAACTTTATGTTTTATAAACATGTTAACTGCCCAACTCTGATTTTAGGGTATAAACCACAAATATTTGTTTATAACACCAAGATTTTGGGTCTGTATTTTGATTCCAAATTAACATGGAAAATATACATTAACTGTGTAACAAAAGAACGCAAGAAAAGAACGAACATCTTGAAATCGCTTACATTCAAAACTGAGGAGTTGATAAGACGTGCTTCTGCGAATTTACAGATCATTCGCAGAAAAATCTATTATGGCTGCATATTGTACAACACGTCAAGGAAAAAATATTTCAATTAGTTGGACACAATCTACAACCAAGTTTTGGGAATTGTGACCGGATTCTTCTTCACGACACAAATCGGAAGCATCCTTAACTCAGTCTCAAAAAGTTTCACTAGCCCAATGGAAAACATCTCTATTACTAAAGTATGCTATTCAATCTTCTACATTAAAAAATTGTATATGAAATGATTTTTCCTAAACTTTAGAGTGCGAGTGACAAAAACCCTCGGTACGCATCTTTGTACAAGAGAATTAAAAGCATTCCCGAATAAATTAATTTATAAACATCCCAAATGGAAACAAAAAGTACGTGTAGTATTCCACCATGGATTCTTCGCATTGTTAATTGAGTACGATTGTTACTGATTAAACACCCAATTACACAAAAAATCACTTAACAATTTTAAAAAGAAAATGTAAAAACGGAAAAATTAAACAAAATTCATTGAAGTCTGTAACAAACACAAAAATTACAACCTAGTCTACACCGACGGAGTAGAATTGAAAACGAAGTCAGATTAACCATTTCTTTGCATGATTTCAAATTGAAGCACTCCCCGCCTAATAACTACAATTAAAACTGTAATTATGTATTCTTCATTACTGTTTTTAAGAGAAATTGGAAAATCGTAATAGAACCAAAACTATATAATTTTTACATATTCCATCACAATTGAAGATATAAATCGCAAATCAAAATAAGAAATAAACAACTGCCTTCACGAAATCCACTACATTGTAACAAAAGCAGGTAAAAAATTGTACATACCTCCTTGCAAACAAATGTTTGGTAATGAAATTGCTTATTTATAAGTCAAAATTTCTGTGACAAAGAATAAACAATTTTACCCAACCAAAACAAATTAATTTGAAGACATCTGCAAAAACAACAATCACACATTAAACTTTCAATGGAGCAGCTTTGATGTATATATAAATTTAGCAATATCAATCAGTCAACAAACACATTTTACTCATTAAATATCAATAAGAAAACTGGTCACTGGGAGCAAGTAGTCCTTTCAAGCATAAGATTTGGGAGATCCAAATTAAACCATTTAATAAAAAATTACCTATTATGCAATCATCATAAACAGTTATTTGGATTCAAACATTCCATTTTGCATTAATTAAAAGATCAAGATTAAATAATCAAGTTTTCTAAGGCTATCAATATAGCTACCTAAATTTAATCCCATTGTTTAATGTAAATTGATCCCTCCAAAATATTGATTTCATATTAGTCAAAGTATATTGTAATGTCAATTTGTGCTATCGTTTTCCTGAATATCATAATTTCTGTTATCAAACAATAATTTAATGGTTATTGTATTTTTAATTATAGGTGGTAAACTCTTCAACTCTCTATAAAAATATATAAAAATCCATTAAATTTAAACAAATGGTAAATGTAAAATATTATTTACTCAAACTATAATGTAATACAATGCCTGAAATAGTAGCAAATAATCATATTGTTGATGAGACTATAAATAAATTTAACTTAAAAAAATTTCAAAAACGTTTATTTCAATGAAAAGAAATACAAATTTTCACGAAGTAAATTTAAGCACTTCACAAATTTTGTTTATCAAGCATATCACTGTATCTTATAGATCTCCACATCATAGACTAATTTTACTCAAAACTGCATATAACGTACAAAATATTGAATGTTTTTCATCTGTCTTGTGGTATGTCAAGTCGTATGGTTTATTTGTATGCTTTAATACAATCTGTCATATGTTTGTATTTATTTCTACAAAAGCGATGTTATTACATTTTCCGTTACATTGTGATGAATTGAGCTAGGCTTACATGAGTATCTATTAAAATATAATGAAAGGAAGACAAATTTCGACACTGTTCAATACTATTTTTCAATAAGTTACCTATGGAGAAAAAATCTAAGTATTCTTTATTAGGTTATTTTCGGAGACATGGCGTCTTAGCTGTAAAAAATATGATAATTATCAAAAATATAAAATCAATTATCACACTTTATCTACTCTTCCTCATACTAACCATTCTAATTTCTACTGATAGAAATCCGCCATTTTAGCTTATTTTGAAGCGAGATGAACCCATATTATATTCTCTTTCGCAGTTCTCTTAGTACACTACCTTTTAAATCTTTTTTACTTTGCAAAACATACTTGTCATCATGTACAAATTGATATCGCACTGAAAGATTCTTTAACATATGTTGCATTGCCGACATTTAGTACATCGTTTGACTTAATACATTTCTCTTCAAATGTGTAATGCAAAAATACTGAAGTAAACATGTAACAGTACTCTTTGTGTGACCAGGCAACTTCTATAATATCCTTCCATCTAATTTGGCATTGTATTCTTGAATACTTGTCAGATGAAATAAGCGTCGCATTTCATATGCTTACACGTTGTTTATCATACTTTATACTCTATAAAAGCTAATGTGAAAGCACTTACAATATCACACAACTAATTTGGGGCAAGTCTTTGAACCTTTACTCGTAACAAATAAGACTATAATCAGCGTTCTTTTTCTTGAGCCCTTGTTTTGCTAGATAGGATAGGAGCTACAGGTTAAGTTACTTCGACGGCTAGACAATTAGTACATATCTGAAGCTCGTTTTTCGATGCAAAATAATTTATTTTACGAAGTACATTTATGGTTAAAAATTTTTTTTGATCAACGCTCGTTGCTTTCATTTATTCATAATTCAACTGATGTTGGATGGGAGGAGGCAGGGATACCAGGGCTCAAGAAAACGTGCGCGTTAATACATGAATGATGTATACTGATGGAATATTCTTTAATAGATTGGTGTCACAACGTGGTTCCACAAGGTTTTCAAGAGTAGTTACGTTATATATCAGCCATTATTAACTTCTTAATCGTCTTCTTATCGTGCATTTGGTATAGAAACCACTCACTCTTATTCTTTGTTGTGGAATTTTCTCGTAGCTTGTTTTATGTGACTATTTAACGGTGTATAAACGCAATAGAATCATATCATTCGTATCTTTACACAATATACAGTTCACAAAGCGAGCAAAATAAATATTCAAATAAATAATAACAGAGTGTTTTCTCAATGCTGTACGAAACGACTGCACAGACACTTTTCATGAGAGTTTCAACATATCCACTGTTCGCAGCAGTGTAGGGACGTTAACGTTCAAATTAAAACCGCATCCGTGCGGAGTAGCGCTCCGTGAATTCACTGCTTTGGTAAAGTAGCCAATACCAAGGAGTGAGTGTCGGGCATCGAAGGAACGGGGGGGGGGAGTGTCTTCTCGGTGCGGTAACGTTGAGGCGGTGGCTCGGGGGGCGGGGCTGGTGACTAGAGGCGCTACCCGGCGGCATGCAGGTGCGCGGCGATCCACTTGACGGTGTGCGACACGGCGTGGTAGATGCCCGGCTGGTGGTCCACCCCGCAGCCGAAGCCCGCGCTCGTGATGCCGGCCAGGGTCCAGCGGCCCTCGCTCATCACCACCAGCGGCCCGCCGGAGTCGCCCTGCGGCACGCCGGCAATGCGCGGTTAGCACTCACCAAAGGCAGCAGGTGGCATTCAAAGTTGCCGAAAGGAAACCATCTTTCCAATTAAGGTACTCGTCTACCTGAGTTTGAAACTTTTATTTATGGCACTCATCAGAATTTAAACATGCTTACGTATAGGATTAGGTATTAACAAAGACAAACATGTTTTCTAAAATTTTATTTCAATTATTTCATTTGATGTGCCCTTTTCTTTCCCAAAACGGTATAATTAGAAACATCATAACTCAGGGACTGTTAAATATTTTTTATGATTCTTTTTAACATGGTTATTTCGATTGTACTTTAGTGCTTAAACCTAAATTTGAAGATTAATAATGAACTTGTATGTACTCCACAAGGATTGGAATTAGAAATTTTAAAATTCACTGGCAATAATATCAATTAACAGAAGGATTTATTATTGCTATTATGTATTTTCTATAACAATGTCATGTTTAGGCACAATAATTGACGTTCTGCTATTAAATAGAAAATGAACCATAAAGATATCTTCAAAATTAGAGGAGTTATGATGTTTCAAGTCATGCGAAATAATAGAAAAAAGTAACTTTAGGGAAAAACTAGATTAAGATTCATTAGCTCTATAATGACCAGGATGATACGGTATACCTTCGACTTTGGTTTCTTTGTCTTCTTTACTTTTCTCTGACATTTCAAGTGTCTCTTCCTACTTTTACTTTCAGTTGTGGTCTGTTTTTTAGCTATTTGATGTTTCCTTGTGTCACACAATGACTCCTGGCAACATATTTGTGCCATGTTTCATGAACTTCCTTTCAAATGTTTAGGACGTGACATTTGCGAGGGCGATCGGAAAACAACAAATATCTCAGAAACTAACAAATTTAGAAATAAATGGCTTTAAGCATCGAAAAGTACACATCTCAATGCACAAGGGACAACAAAAAAACAAAAATTCAAATTTTCACGGAGAAAGGCGTTTTGAGGTTGACGAGTACCTTAACGATTCAGGAAGGTGAAATGTTAATTACAAAAAAGAGTGGTTAAATCATCAGTCGTTTTGTCTCTAAATTACAGACCTCGTTGGCGTTATGGCAAATTAAACCTCCTTTCTTGTATAATCAGGTGTATATATAGCCCTTAGCCTCTGAAATAGAAACTTTTCATTTGCTTAGACATTTTCAGCGGACAGATTAAATTAAGTAACCTACACAGAAAGCAACTTTAGTAATTATCGCACTCGTAGCTAAATAATGAAGTGAAATGCATACAATTTATGTCTAGCACATTCTCAAACTGTTTAACCTTATGTAATTCGTGGGTTAGTCTCGTTCAGTACCACTCGCGCATTGAAAATTTCCTTATTAATCCTTTCTCTGATTCGCGACTCAGAAATTAATTAGAAATTTCCGATGCACGCGCGGAATTATAAATAAATTCTCGGGCGACGCCGGGTAAAGAAATTAAGATGGCGTTTGGCACGCTTAGGAGTGACAAAAAAGTTACATCTGTTATAACATTGATGTTTTCTTCAGATCGATATATCGATCTAAAACATCGAAAGAAATATCGACGATTTCAAAAAAAAAAAAAAAAAAAAAAAGTCTCGTGATATAAATAAAATTTACAGTATCTACTGTTTAGTGTGGATTGCTCACATACATTCGAACAACAGCCATTCACTGCTGTCACTCTTGTTGCTCCCCAGACGGCATGAAACCCTTTGCTATTAGCATCCTTTCTCTAGTGTTATTACCTGTTTTATTATTTGTATGTGGTAATATCGTTAAACTGAATTTGAACCTCGACCACATACAACATTGATTAGAAAAATAAGTTGACAGTAAAATTTAGGCTGAATATGAATTAAATTAATATTGACGTGTTACGTATCACATTAGAACCAGGACACTTTAGTTCGATGTTTTATCATATTTAAAACATCGATGTATGTGGCTGAAGTTTCCATCGACATCCAAAACCTTTTGTTGAAGTTTCGGAGTATCGATGTATCGATGTTTTGCTCAAATCTGCCGTCACTAGGCACGCTACGTACGAGGCAGGCGTCCATGCGGCCGTCGCGGTGGCCGGCGCAGAACATCTCCGGGTGCAGCTCGAGCGCGATGCGCTTGCGCCGGTGCCACGCCAGGCACTCCGCGTCGCTCAGGATGGGCACCGCCGCCTTGTGCAGGATGTTGGTGCCCTGCTTGCCTGCAACATGCCGCACCACGCTTAGAACCAGCCTCTCATAACTTCGCCTCTTGGAAGATGAACAGGTGACTCGGAATAAATGTTACAAAGTTCTGAGGTATGTAGAGAGGTCGATGATCACTTTGGGACAATGAAACATGTGGTGGGATGTATTTCATAATGAAGTTAGACACATGACATTTGCTCGGCACCCTGTGGTATGGATTGGTAGGCATCCCGTCCTACACTGGTGTTTGGCAGGTATACGAAATATCTTTGCGTCAGAACGGTACCTACTAACCACAAGTGTAGGAGGAGTTTCATACGAATCAAAGCCAAATCTAACATGCCAAACTTCGTTATATGAGATTTCCCACCATTTGTTCATTGACAAAAGTAACCATCTTCGACTCATCCGTTCTAGAAGTTTGCAACATTTAATCTGAAAGACCTGTACAAACTCTGTACGCTTAATCGTGGTTTAATAATTTTTAACATAGCTTCATTGAAAGACATATAAAACTTTTACTTAGAAGATTTCAATATTGTTAATATTTATATAAACTTGAAATTAATGAGAAATCAACAATTTAGTGTTTACTTAAAACTAACGTCATTCATTTGTTGCATGGACGTTTCTCTCTTGATTTTAAAACACAATTATTACCAATCACAAAATTCTAGCCAATGCGGAGCTTTGGAACGTGACGTGCCATCCATCGCGCTCCTCTCTGCGCACTGAGTAGACGTTCAGCACTCACTACACATGGCCACAGTATACGTATCAATACAGTAGCGCAGCTCCGCCCGTGTTTGGCTTGTTAGGGGTGTGCGCGCGTACATCTAGCGATCCGGGCGGCGTTCATGTAAAACTATGAATAGGTCCTACTGAAATAAATGGATTGATTTCTGAAATTGCGTTTAATAAGTGCTGGTTAAAAATTAAAAAAAATAATTCGTGTTGTTTCTTGACCTCGTGGTTTTACATTACAATGATTTCAAGGGCAAGCCATTATATAACACTTTAAATTACATAGAACTAAAGTTTTAAACTTACATTTGACATCGGAACATATTTGATATGCAATAACTGAATTTTTATACGTTTCAATGAACACATTAATGCGTGTGACAAAAGGGGCAGACTGTTCTGCATTTAAATGCTGCAATAATGAAGGAAAGAATCCTGAGTTATGTTTTTTACGTGTCCAATAGATCGGACACGTAAGGAAGGACGGAAATTTGTTACTTACGAACACAAATGTTATTACCTTCTAGATTGCTAACTAGATTACTTCCATTTCTAGACAATTCCAGAAAAATATAGAAATACTTGTTCTTCCTCATGATTCAACTATTCACTTTCAATGGACAATATTCATTAGATTTAAATCATTTCCTTAATTAGAAATTATTCAAAAGTTCTACTTCTCATGTTGTTTTAGTTATATGCATTAAAATTTATTAAAATTATTAATTTTTTGATCATATTTAGCCGAACGAAGCTGTAGTACGAATGTAGTATTGAATGATATCGGCGAAGTGTTCCTTGATCACCTCGCGGATCACTAAAGCCGCTGACCAACACGTCGTCATAGGGCATTTAACACGGAGCTGCGCTACTGTATTGTATAATACGTATACTGTGTTGTGGCTTCATCGGCGACGCGGCGTCACCCGGACAGCCCAGATCACCCACATGACTCTGGTCGCGGAAGCCTACGACTTCAATAGCACCATTTGTTGACTCATAGATTTGTATAAATTTTGGAAATCCAACTGTTTTAATCAAAGCACTTGTACCATTTTAAACAGTATATTGTTCTCTACCTGCACACGTTGAAAGGAGATTGTGAAGCCGATCTTATAAAATAGTTAAATATTTATAGAATATTTACCAAATTTAGTTCAAAATAAAATGAAAAATACTTCATTCACTATTGTATTATTTTATTACGATATCTTTGCCCCCGCGATTATCAAAAATCATTAAATTACAATGATAACTCTGGGAGACTAACATTTAAAATAAATGAAAAATCATGAATTTTAATTAAATGAATTTTCATTTAAATCAGGGTTCATTGTGAAAGTTCTGGCTAAACAAGTCAAAAACAACAACAATAAAAATACATAATGAATTGTGTAATCTCCATTTTCTAAGGTGCTTAAAATATAAGAAACAAGCTAGGCGGTTCTTCTGTCCATGAGCTGGCACATTGTGAAAGCTGCACTTCGTGATTAATAAAAATCTCAGTTATTGGCACTTAGATAATATAATCCTCCATTTTATATTTACTAACTTATTTAATTAATTAATGATTTAATTAATAAATTTATTTATTTATTTATTTAATTATCTTCTTGTTTATTGCTCTTCGGAGCGTGAGGGGTGTGGGGTGCGCGGCAGGGAGCGCTCACCGAAGCCCGTGTGCGTCTTGCCCCAGCCGGCGACCACGCCCATGCGGCCCTTGAAGGCCTGGCCGGGGCGCGGCAGGCAGGCGGGCAGCACGTGCGCGCGCAGCGCCGCGGGCCGCGCCAGGCGCAGCAGGGCCACGTCGAAGCGGTCGGGCTGCGCGGCGCGCCACTGGAAGCGCGGGTGCACGTGCGCGCGCAGCACGGCGTGCGCCGCCGCCGGCAGCGGCTCCGCCACCGAGCCCGTGTCCTGCGTGTCCAGCTCGCCCAGCAGCACCGTGATCTCCGACGCACGCGCCCTGCGGAACGCCTCGCGTCAGCCAACACGCACATTGCCGCATGGGGCCCGGATGTGGCCCAGGCCCCGATTTAACTGGTGATCCTTATATTTTTTACATTCAAACAAATAAAATTGTATTTAACCACAGATAAATCGTACATTGCCGTGATGGCCCCGTAGAATTAACTATTAAACACAAATATTCTAATAGTTCTGACAATCAAAAGATAATTCATAAACATATCTTTCTTACCACCTAATGATACGTGAAACGTAAGTGCGAAACGTTGTATTGTGAAGTAAATACTTTTTTATGAATTACTTTCTGAGTATCAAAAATATAAGAATATTTGTGTTTTATTATAAAAAATGTATTTCCTTCTACTTCAAATTAACCGCTATGAGCAATTTCTGTTGCTTGGAGAGATTAATTCTTAACATGAATTGGGGAGTGAGGTGAACTTCTGATTGAAATAGGGACACCGTGTATCTATTGACCCAAGTCTTTTGTTATATCTGGGAGCCCTCTGCAACTGAACTCACCTGTTAGGTAATTGATCCGCCGATACCACAATTAAATACACTCATTTTACATCTGAATACTGAAATTCCCTTAGTAATGCAAAACTATGTTGGCAACTGTAATGAGTTGTTTCGAAATCTATGATCAGAAACACAGAAACCTTGTGATTGAAAAAAAGGCTGGAAGGAAATGAACGCAAAAGTATCACAAGCACATCAAAATGTTAATATTTTGAAGTGGGAAATTCTCACATAACTTTCCAAGAATAGTAATTTTTTTCTTGAAACATCATAGTTCTTAATTGAAAAAAAAGTCAAGGAATTTGCTGTATGCTTTTCTTTGCAATTAAGGAAGGTATATCGCTAAAAAGTGCTAAAAATATGAATTATTTGTATCACTCATAAATAGGCTTGCATATCCTTTTGACCATTGAGCGATCCAAAGTTGACTGTATAAATCGATTAGAAATACAAAGCGACTATGTAAATCGACCAGGTGTTGTCAAGAAAAATAGTTTGAAATTAGCGCCAACCACCTCGTGAAACTATGCTTGACTTGTGACGCTACCTAGCGGTTTTCCGTCGAACTGCCAGCTACCAGTTGCTTCTCCAAGATAACAGACGCTTTCTACTCCTGCTAATGTAATCCTTCTAAATTAGACACAAAGTTAATAATAAGTTTTCCTGGTAAATAATTTAAAATATAGTAACACTGGAATATAAAATATAATACTTTCAATATTATATTTTACACATATAAAGGAATACGAGTATAAAGAATAATAATTATAACTCTCATATATTTTGTTTGGTTTTAAAAGAATTCTCAAATTCTTTGATTCTTTGACGTGTTAAAATACTGTTTGAATTTATACATTTACTTTATGTAATTATTTTGCGTATCTCATTCAAATGAGGCAAGTTGAAATGTGTAGAAGAACGATTTTTCGATATGGATGTGTGTTTAAAATGTAACTCGATAATGAAAATAGACAGAAGTTGCTAATCCACCAATAGATATATGTTTAAGGCATACTTGATTGTGTATTACCGAGTTCAAGCACTACACTTCAAGATTTTGATGGTATATTTTTTTAAATTATCCTACAACAGAGTTACAACCATTCAAAATTAGGCAGACTTGGCAGTGTATCGCAACGTCGATATAAATACAAGAAAAAATAATTTATAATCAATAATTGATAATATGGTTAAATGATTTATTATAAGTTCTTACAGTTTGCAGAATGCAACCTTTCAAGTAGAAAACTGAAATATCTGATATTTACTTGTGTAAAAGAGAATCGTTTTGAAAGACTTTATGGGCGTGTATTATCAAAACCACATACACTACGTTTTATTTACTTTCTTTAGGAGACCTATGAAACTATTAAATTGCATTTTTATGGAATATTTATTCTATTATATTTATCAAATTGATTGTTGGTCAACATAACCATATGCCAAATTTCAGTGTGGTAGAAATAAATTTTTCAAACATTTTTATCATTGATTTATAATCTGGTTTTGCTGAAGCTCCATGTGATGTATCTTGTTTTGTGACATAGCCATGTGCTGTATCTGGTTTTGAAAGGAACTGTATTTGATGTACCTGATTAACAAAGTTTTGGATTCTGCGAGCAAATCACACATAAAATATATAGCTTGTTTTATTTTGAATGGCATAAATTAACCTACAGGTATATCTTAAGTTCACAAAAATAATATGAAGCAATCTATTTTTAAAAAAAAAACGTATTTAGTTAAGCAACTAGACAACTCATGCAATATCTAGTGTGGGAATTAATTTTGCCATGAACCATTTCAGAACAACTACGAAATAATAGGTTGAACAAATAGGAGAATAAAAACACAAAGAACTAGAATAAAAAGAGGAAAGAGGAGATATAGAAGAAAGGAAAAGAAAAGAGGAAATAAAAGAAAAGAGGAAAGAAGAGAAAAGAGGAAGGAAAAGAAAAAAGGAAGAGAAAAGAGGAAGGAAAACAAAAGAGAAAGGAAGAGAAAAGCGACAGGAAGAGAAAAGCGACAGGAAGAGAAAAGCGACAGGAAGAGAAAAGCGACAGGAAGAGAAAAGCGGAAGGAAGAGAAAAGCGGAAGGAAGAGAAAAGCGGAAGGAAGAGAAAAGCGGAAGGAAAAGAAAAGAGGAAGGAAGAGAAAAGACGAAGGAATAGAAAAGAGGAAGGAAGAGATAGGCGGAACGAAGAGAAAAGAGGAAGGAAAAGAAAAGAGCAAGTAACAATCGGCCTTGTACCTGTGGACGCAGTGCGCGGCGGTGGCGACGACCCAGCGCGACAGCAGCACGCCCCCGCACTGGAAGCCCGCGATGCGCAGGTGCGCCTGCCACGGCAGCTCCCCGAACGCCGCCTCCGCGCCGCCGATGATGCGCTTCTGCAGCACGGGCCGCGGCCGGCCGCACTCTGCGCGCGGGGGAGGAGAGCAGCTTAAATTCATTGGCGATCAAGGGCCAAATCACTTAGTATCGTAAGCGTAGTGCACGTTTTTTCCCTCGGGAGCAGGCGGCTCCCCGCTGTGGTGAGGTCCGGCGCCGACCTAACGGGGTTTCCCCAATTTTAACCGGGTACCTCCCACCAGCGGGGAACCGCCTCCGCCGGGACCAGCTCTAAGGTGCCGACCGGTCTCCCGGTATGCGTGGTAGTGCAGAGTATGTAAGTGTAAGGGGTGAGGATAGGACAAAGAAGAAAGAAAGAGGACGGTATGATCACGCGCGGTTGTTTCTTAAGGTACTGCTCCGGCATTCGGCTGGTATTGATAGGAGAAACCCCGGTCAACTACCATTAACAGCAGCCGGCCGCTAGGATTCTCCTTCAGGCTGCGACTTAATTCGACCTAGCCATCTAGCTAGTGTTGAAAAGCTTGCCATCGTCGGGGCACGAACATAGGATCTCCCGGTGAGAGGCCCTGCAATGACATCAGTTGATTCCCTGAGCTACTTCTACTGGTGACAGCAACTTCAATTCCCACCAGTCCCCTATAGATTCCATCAAGAAAATAATGATGCTACAACGGTACATACGTTCTCCCATTAATTGAACTTTTCAATGCAAAAATTCGTGATTGTCTCTGCTTTCTCTATGTCACAACACACGTCGTTGTTGGTTATCGATATATCAACGCAGATTCAGTCCAATCATCAAAGTGCCCATGAGGTGCATCAATCTACCCAGAGGATGAGTCAGATTGATAAAAAAGACTTCTTTTTAGATTTAAAAAATAATTATATGCAGAAATACTAGAAAACATCGATGGTTAATGACACATTACCCTACTTTTGCTGACACGCGAAAAATAGCGTCAAAATGTCTGATTTCTGAACAGCAAAAATATTCTCAGAAAAAAGTAGTAATGTGCCCCCGTTCCGCTAACATTTAAAATATTGAATGCACAGTACAAAACTGTTTTTGTTGTACTAGTTTTGTTTAGGGAGGATGCAGTTTTATTTTTGACTTTAGATCATAAAGAATTATTTGAATCACCAATTTAAAGAGGCCATTGATGGATATTTTTAATTTATTTAGTTAGTTATTTGATTTTATGTTTTCTTTAATTTTTTTAAAATTCGAAGTTAGGCCGATTTATTTCGTTTATTGAAGATGGCGGATTTCAGTGAACGTGTATGAAGGTCAGAATCAATGTCAATTATCAACGTCAAATGGAGGATTAAAGTTTCTCAAGAATAAGAATTTTACCATTGTTTTCCAAGGTTTAGATGCATTTTTTCAGAGTAATGTCAAGTTTTCTATTTTTTCATCACCAAGAAGTGGCGTAGACAAGTGGGGGAAGGAGAAAAAGAGAAGATTGGCCTCCACATTTAAACCTTTTTTCTCCAATTTTCTAGTATATGTAGCAATATAGTTGCCCAAATAACTCTTTTATTCAAACACTTATATTTCAGGTAATTGCTTTTAATAGCGTCAACAGGAACGGCCCCAATTTACAAGACCTGTAAACTTAAGGTTCCAATAGATATGAAACTAACAGGTTTCAGAAGGCTAATACTGCTTTCATGGATTTTAAAGTTTTTAGTTGTTTCGGGCTCGACAATTACATTTCACAATCTTGTTATCAGATTGTATTTGCCCACATGCTTCCTTGGGTTGAGGTTTAGTATTGGGCAGTTCGCATTCATTGATTAAATTGATAATGTGACAACATAGAAAGCTCCTACCTTTTTCATTGAAATAGGTGTTTATACTTGGGTAAGATAAACACCAGAATGCGATGTGTTTCTACTCTGTGGTGAATCCGTAGTAAAAATTCTGTAGATAAAAACAGTCTGATCTCCTCTGTAGAGGGCGGCCAAACGCTAATATTGATACGAGCGCAATAGGTCGATATCGAGGACGTCACATACATGAGGGCCGTAATATGTGCAACATATTATTTTGTATTATTGTCACATAAGAGGGATTATTTTTAATAAAATATACTTATTTTCCCATTTTACTATTTACTATAGGAGTGGGGACAACACAAAATGTAGTAATTTAAAGTAATAAGATTTTAATATAATTAGTAATTAATAAAATAATTAAAGAAAAAGAAGTCACGGCAGTAACAGAAATGCATTATTTAGTTGTCATTTGTTGATTACTGATAATTATTATGTAAATAAGACAACCAAATAAATGTTACAGACACATACGACACTAATTGCTAGAAATTTGCAGTCGTTTGCTTTCAGTAAGGGGTAATGATTTGTAGGTGTTCAGAAAGTACCCGCCGTGACTGAAAGACGATAAGTACTCGTGCTCTATAATAACCAAACGTGGGTCAGCAGTTTCACATACTTTTGTAGATTGATTAATATGAGAACGGAAGAAAAAGACACGATGTTTTGGACCGAGGGCAGCTCCACGTCTCGGACGCCTGGTTCCTCAGATTATTGTGGTACTCCTCGAAAATCAGGCTGAGCGAACCTGGGAGCCGCTTCGCCTGCCCGGGAGCGAACAACTTCACACGCCAGTCTTCGGCCAGGAACCTGCCTGTAGCCCAGGCGGTAGCCGATCGTCGTAATGGATACAAATGCCGCCAATGGGTGAAGGTTCTTCTTTGAATATTTACTGGGCAAATTGGAAAAGTATGATTTGAATAAATAATTTCACTAATAATATTATTATAAACGAATATTTAGAGGTAATCGGACCACAATAGATAAAATAGTGTATTTAACACATATTACACCAAACTAATTTCGTGTAATCATTAAATTATAATATAAATTACCTCAAGATCCCGTCTGAAACAACTGAGATATAAAAAATTTTTGCTAATGAGAATAATTTTATGGCAATTCCAGCCCATTGAAATATAATTTGTTTTACACTGTCATATGCATAAACCCTACTAAATTATTTTTCAATGTGAAACAACAATGCATCCTCGCTAAATAGAACTATTGCATAAAAAATAAATCAATGTTTTTAATTTTAATAAAAAACAATAATTTTAGCACTGTAAAATATTTAAGTGTGCCTCTTTAAAAATTTGTTGTAATAGTTCATTTCACTAAAATTTTACGAAAAACAAAATACACACGAAAAAGTGTACAATTGAAAACAATAAAAACAGCAATGACTGTGTAAAATGTAATGATTCATTACGTGAGGTGCAAAAGATGTGATAAAATTGTGTGTTGTGAATTTCAGTTTTCTTTTTCTTCTGTGTAAATGAAATGACAGAATTTTCTTTGCTTATTAAATGATAGAAGCTCCATTGTTTTCTGGAGGGTCATTGCTTGGATGCTACTGCAGTATCAGGCCATATCCTTATTGATATTGGTGTTTTGAGCTAACTACATTTTGAGTTGAACGCCATTCAGTGCTCCACTGGGTCTTGTCATCGTGGTTAATCCGTGAGCTACCTCCTGAGACAACTGTAGAAATCATAAGGATAGATATGGTCCGTCTTTTGCTGTTTAATTCCTCTAATGTTGCAATTTACCTTCGAACGACCAAGAAATATTAAAATTTATGATGATGTGTTGCACGGATCATGAAAGTGCACATGATACTTCAATCTCATCATTTAAATAAATTGTTTAAATCGATATTGGTGTTGAGAATACAAGTGTTAGGAAAGTGAAAATTCTTCACTCCCGTAAATGGATTTTTGTTATAGAAACTGCAAGTATCTTATCACATACGTGGCACTATAATGATTAAAATGGACGTTGTCTTCATTTCCATGTAAACGTTAGGTTTTTATTCAGGATTCGGTCGATATTCTAAAATTTTTGATCATTAAAGAATGTGGGGTGTCCATCTGTTCCCACCATTGAGGTATATGTTGCCGTTATTTGCCCCATGGTAAATTTATTACCTCGTTAGTGTAATATGTTGCACTTCACCTACACGTAATATTAAAATTCTTGCGATTATTCAAGAAAGACAACCAAAGACGTCATTGGCTACGGATTTTCATTTCCCCTACCTTTTGTCTCTTCGGAGGTTCATTACTTATAACTTTATTTCAAATAACCATTCGCTGATTTAAAGGAAACTTATATTGTGCACCCATTTGTTTAATTATTGTATTATATACCCCATATAAGTCGAAAAATAAAAAATATTCGTGAACTTAAGTATGTATTTTCTTACCATTTTTTTCACATTTCTTCTTAAAAATCAGAAATTTCTTCATTCTTATATAGCAAAAATGTGCAAAACAAAAATTTACGACACTTATATGAACGGGATGAAATTGAATAAAATATTGGATTATTCATGAATTTCAACGAAGTTTATTTGAACTCTACAGGCCAGTTGCTCTTCACTTAAACCCTTCTAAATGCTTTGCCAAACTCTTCATCCTAAAACGCATCTTACCAGCCTCCCCCCTCTATCTATTCACCTCAAATGGGCTCAGCATAGCACATCTATGTTATACCTTGGAAGTCACACTAGACACCCGTCTAACCTGGAAAGTCCATAACTGTTAGCCCCTAAACCTAGCCTATACACCCCTACGCCCACTCTATTCTCTTATCAATAGAATGTCGTGCGTTAATCTAAGGACCACCTGTATAAATCGCTAGTCCTGCCTGCAATCACATACGCAGCTCCGATATGGGAAGGTGCAGTCCCCTCAACAATAAAACACATCCAAACCCTACAAAATAAAGTCCTCCACACTGCTTTAGATGCCCCATGGTACATGTTAAATGCACAAATTCACTAAGACATGAAATTTCTCTCAGCCACCCAGCATATCGCCCGCCTCTCCGAAAGATTCTTCAACAAGCTTCACAACCACTCTTTCCAACCGACATTCTCACTAGTAAAATCCATATGTTCAGATTCTCCAAAGATAAATTCGTCCCCCGAAAATCCCATTCTATCTCCACTTCATCTACAATCCCATACATTTCACAAATCACCAGCTAAAACTCCTAAACGATCCACCCTAATTTCCCATTGAGGATGCCAATGGGGACATCCTCCGTCTTATTTGTTTGTATTATTGTTTGTATCTGTATCGAATATTATCTAATAAGTTATGTAAAGTGGCTTTGTACGGTGTACCAGAAAAGCATTGAATAAAAACGGTCACTTGATATTCGAGAGAATTAGGAGGCGGATTTTAATAAAATGTCATTTTTTTCTTTTCACTTTAAAACTGCCGTTTTGTAGAGTCTTTAATTTTATGTTTTGACTTAAGGAAATTACCCATTTCATTTGTCATTCTTTTTGCATTTTTCGTCGATTTCGATTAATAAGTCGTTTTTTAAATTTTTTAGTAATTTTGAATGCATTTTCGTTGATTTTAATATAATTTTAACGATACTTGCTTCAAATAATATTTACTGGATGCAACACATGTTCTCCACAAAATTCCTAAGTAGCCTATTCCATTTCTTCGCTCACAAATTCAACGAATATCAGGCGTTGTACGTAATCTAAGGTTTCTGTGACGCCTACCAGTACCATTGTCGGTTCAGCCGTTACCCGGGTAACTAAAAACAGATGTCCTGGTAAAAAGTAGTCCAAACCAAACGTGTGCGAGCTGACTTCACTTGAACAAATGGAATAAGCCACGATTACATTATCATATCCAACAGCGTGAGCTGTTCATCTCGTGTTGATCGCATTTTTATGTCATTTTTCATCGCTTTTAGAGCATTATTAAAAGATATTAAGAGCATTTCATCGATCATTTTCGGCGATGTTTTAGGCCATAAAAATCCGCCCCTGGAGATAATTATCTCCCAATTCCCATTAAAGGGAGGCCGCTGTGGCCAGCCCGGCGCCCTTCCCCGCAGCGCGTGACTCACCTGCGATGCCGTCGGAGATGTCGAGGGGGCCGGCGCTGCGGTGGTCGATGCCGTCGCGGCGCGGCGCGGGCGACGGCTGCGGGGGCAGCGGCGGGGGGCGGCGGCGGCGGGGGCGGCGACGGGGCGAATATAGGGCATCGTCTCGGATGCCAGCGCCGCGGATCCCGGCCTGCGCAACGCGCGCGGCCCTCGGGCACTGGCGCCACCACCGCCGGGCGCGAGCGGTCGAGGGGGAGGGTGGGGGAGGAAGTCCGCAGGTCGGGTAAGATTTGTTTGCGTAGGCTTCGCGGCGCGGAGTTTTATGTGGCTGGGCTATCGGGACGGCCGTGTCGATGTCAGATGGTGGCTAACGTTTCGGCCACGTAATTGGTGCGCTTTCTTCAGAAGCGTACTGCTGCAGTACGCACATCAGATACGTCAGCAGTAATCCTCTAAGAAGGCCACAATACGCTGGAACCGAACGTTAGCCACACATGAACATCACCCAGGCTCTACCGGAATAGCCACGCCAACCAGGAAATTTGTTTTTCGTCCCGTGTTGGGACACCTCTTATGACGGAATATGCCAGTTTATCACACAGTTTAGCCACTCACCCACTGAATCAAATTGCTTGTCATTCTAGCTCCTTATAAGACCCACTTTCAAAGGAAAACTAGAAACTGTTGGTCCAGAATAGAAAATAAAAAAAAATCCATCCACCAATTCATTGATCCATACTAGACCATACTTCCATGATTCCAAGAGCCCTGTGCAGGTTTCTAAGTGCTTCTTCAGAAAAATATTTTCTTTCTAGCTGCCATAACTATTGTGCAATAGGCTAGTCTCCAGAAAGCCCCCCTAGCGCCTCTCTCTGAGACGTTCGTTGCCCCGAATACGGCTAACCTGCTGGCCATCTTGGCGTACTGCAGCCTGCCTCCGTTGTGTGAGACTCTAACCGCACTGAGCAAGTAGTCTTCCACGAGGGTAGCTTTGCCCACTCTTGTTCTTCCTAGGAACTAGTGGCACCATCTTCTAACGTTCGGATTTGCATACCAAAGCGCAGCCAAAATACAAGTCCGCAAATCTTATCCAGTAATGTCCAAATCGAACTCTGAATTGCGTCGCTAAATGCTAGAAAATTCTAAGGGTTTGCCAGATCGGTCAGTGTGTCTCCTGAGTATCATTAGATGTTGACTAACTTCTCGCTTTGTGCTATGCAGTTATTTTTTGACACCCCTAATGAAATATTCCCTCCTTTTAATTTATCTTATTGAACTCTGAGAATCTTTCCTCCCCGACCCAGAACCAGCATTAACATCATGCCAATCAAAGTCGTAGAAACACAACTACTCCATACACCATAAACTCACACCTATCCACCATAATTAATACAAACGTAACAATGTACGCCAACCTGTTAAATTATTAACATTATTAAGGTTTTCCTTTCTTGCTGTAAAATTTTGTTTTTTTCACATAGGATTTAATATTTTCCAACGACGATTCATAGTTTTTTGTCTAGATCTTTTGCGCAGACATTTTATAAAACATTGGAAACGAGGCACTTTTAACCAGAAAAACCGTAATTTAGATTATAATATATTTTATTGACATATTCTTTTCAATGTTTAAATTTGGTCCATCTCAACGGGTTTCGAAGACTTCTTTTCCTTATTCTTCAGGCGCTTATGTCTCCGAATACATTTTATCATTTTTCTAAAATTACATGTCCTACTGTCATCATTACAAACATTCAATACAAACAATTAATAGGATCCAACGTTACACAAAAGCATATCTTATGGTTAAACCGCTTTCGTTCATTCGTAGTTTAATTATTTTGTTCGGCGAGCGTTTTTTTTTGTTTTTTTTGGTCAACGACGTCAAGACTACTAGTCCCGCACACAGTGCCATTGCCATTACCCCGCCGACCTCGCCCTCCCGCCGTAGAACGGAGAGGTCCAACGCACTATTACTGCGCGCTTTCTGATTGTGTTCCCCACAATGTAGCTCGTCTAGTGGAGCAGCGCGTCTAGCCAGGAAAATAAGATTCCTGATGTGTGATTGTCTAGTGGCAAGTTATTTTTAATATTGTATATTTATGTAGTCACAATAGTAAAAACGTGTATGTGACGTAGCGGGGAAGAGATCAATCTGCGCACGATTTCTTGAGTTCCAGAATCCCTTCCCATCATTTTAACTATAAATAGTTGAAAGATGAGTAAACGTTAAAGATAAATAAATGAATAAAAATAAAATTTTGTGTGGGTATGAGGGGGAGGAGGGGGAAAAGATGAGAAAGGGGAGACCACGCGCGGTCTGTGGCTTGTTTGTTAGGTTACTGATCCGGCATTATTTTTGTTTTGATCACAGATAGCAAGAGCAGCCTGCCGATAGAATTCTCCTGGAGACAGTGGTTGAATTCGACCTAGCTATATAACATCTGTCGAAAATATACCACTGTCAGGACTCGAACTCTAGAACATTCTGGTCAACTATGCTGCAGAAGCAACTGTGTTCTCATTTAGCCAACGCAGACAGTAAGGTAAAATCTGAATTTCAGTGGCAGTTTCAAGTGGTAAGTTTGATAATACATTCACAAACTATAGTCTCAAAAATTGTTCAAAGTTATATCGTTACTGACGTTTAAAAACACATTTTGTCCCGTTTAAAGTAACAATACTACTTGGATTAAATTGTGACATAGACCTTATTATTTGTAATACTTTAAGTAGGTAATTTATTTCCGGTTCTGCTGTATTTTTCAAATGAAGCCACTTACTTTCGGGGATCTTAAGAAATTCATTTCATCAAAGAATTAGGCTACTTCCCTTAGGTATTTCAAACGACAGTATGATAGGGTTAAAACTGTGTTACATATGGCGGAGAAGAGCCTTAAGCTCTGGATTCTAACTTTCTAACATAATGTATTAATTTAATTAAGCTAATATATTAAATTGAATTATGAATACAAGCAGCAACGACCAATTTTGGTAAGATTTGATAACAAGAAACATTCACTCTCTTGTAATAAAAACTAATTGCAAATGAGATACAGATTTTTTTCTATCATTCCTTGTCGCTCCCGCGTCGCTACCGCGAGAACATGGAGAGCAGTTATTTGAACCCCACTAATACCCACGGAGCTTAAGAAAACGTGTGCAGATAGTGAAGCTACATTTGTACAGATAGTGAAGCTGCATATTCGCCCTTAAAATGCCGTAGAATCAAGTGTAGAAAATTGGATATAACTGCAAGAAACGCCAAGGGTCCCACACAATGTCAATGGCATTTTAATGAGATTGTAGTAGTATCACACTAGTCTGTCACTTCATCGCTGCCGGCAGCGCCACCAGAATATGAAAAGTCAAAGTCAGATGATCAGCTCGTTGATTTGCATAAAAAATTGAATTACTTAGCATCCCTTGCTACTTTACGATATGGTGAATGAAAAAGAAATAGGCTCATGAATGCAGCAATTTTGTAATCAAATGCTGGCAGTAAAGCGACGTAGTTCAACATTCGTTGTTTCACATTTGCTTATTGATTAAATTGAAAATAGGGTTATTGTATGGGATTTTGCATCTGAGAAATACTTAATATAGATTTAAAGAACAAAAACTGGTAGTGGTATTGCAAATAGATAAAGTAGTGTATCTAGCGACTGCGGATAATAACAAATATATATTTCCATACAGATATTAACGACAAATGTGTTAGTTTAAAATTCCATGAAGAGACTACACACGCTCACATCTCGTAGCTGGAAAATGTAGTGGCCACGAGTGCAGTCAGCAGCATTGCCACGACACTGTTGTGATAACAACCTTTTATCTTTTTAGACTTGAATTTATTTAATACCCAAGAAATGAAGAAAACTGTATATGACGCACGGGAAAGACTAAGTAAAATATGCGCATGTTTCCATGAGCTACGGAACATTCCGAAGTAATGTGGAATTAAAAAAAAAACATTTATTTCCGAAATGTTTCCGTCCGCATGGCGTTTTCTGTTTCTAAAAGGCAGCAAGACTCTCACTGAAAATATCTGCAAGTTGGTTGAAAAACTTTCTGAAATAAATATTTCATGTTCTGAAGATATTTTACGCGCTTACGTCACTTCCGTCACTTGCACCTTCAGCAGCTGCCCGTTGACTCACCTGCACCGACGACTGGACGTAGGGCAGCGTCTCGCGCTGCGTGGCGGCCCCCCCGGGGGGGGGGCGGGGGGGGGGGCCCCCCCCCCGGCGCGGTATGCCGAGGGGCGGGGCGGGGCGGGGCGGCGCGGGGGTCAGCAGGTGAAGAGCAGTCGGGAGCACGAAAGGCGCCCCGCGCGCCGCCGCCGCAGCCCGCCGCCGCGCGGCCCCACGCCCCCAGCAGCCAGCAGGTGGAGGCGCGAGGTGCAGCGGCCGCGGCAGGCGCCGCCGCCCGGTGCGCCCGCCGCGCTCGCCCCTGCCACGCTCACGCCAGCCGCCGGCGCGGCGCACCCGCCAGCGGCAGCATCAGCCGCAGCCCCGGCGGCCTTGCGCACAAGTTACACGGTTGCGCACAAGCGCTCGCGCGACGTCGGCAACGCGCAGCCGCGATTAAGAGTTCCTTACAAGAACCAAACATTCCCAAAACTCCATATTTTGAAATATTTCATCAAGTTATTCCGTACAAGTATACAAATGTGGGTCTAAAAGTGGTAAAATATCAAATTTTATACGTGATATTTTAAAATATTTCACGTGATTTCTCAATTTCTGATCAACAATGATTTGGTTGCCTATAAATGTTTATAAGTATAGGACCACGTTTACATACTCATGTTCAATAATAAGACTCTCATAATAGAAGAAATTATTCCGTACAATTGGCGCTACCTGCTGGACCGAATGGTTTTCGGAACGTGCCAAACACATTGAAAGATACGAAAACTTATAAATTCATTACTATGCACCTCTACGCTGAGAAATTTTTGGTACCTCATAAAAAATCGGTAATTTGGACTAGTGTCATTCTTGCAAGAAACCCTTCAGATCATGAATGATGAGAAAAAAATGAAAAGTTCCTCCGAAATCAGTGGTACACCAATTTTTTGATTGTGGTAATATGTTTCTGAACAGAATGACCCAATGTAATTTCTAAAGTACAGTTTTGATCAAAATCAAGTTTTAACATTGATTATAGTTGAAAGTAGAATCGGGGTTTGTTCAAAAATTGCCTCGTGTGGGTTCCCAGCCCACAACACGTCAATTCTTTAATTGGTTAATTATTTAGTCAATAGTAAAGTAAACAATGATTCCAGTCATTTCTTATTTATATAAACGTTAGGATCTCTATGAATGAGATCCTCTTCAGTATGATACTTTTCTGAAAATACATAGTCGCATTACAAAAATATTTTTAACGATTATTTTAGAATAAATGCGAGAAAGTACGTGCTTTGGTAGCACCACTAGTTGAAGAATGTTACAATTAGCCTTCATTTTTCTATACATTTACATCTTTATCCAAAATGTGATGAAAATGGAAATCATTACCGAAATGAGTGCGAAAGGAAAGTAAAAATACATTATAACGCAAGAATATAGAACTACCACCAAGAAAATACAGAATATGTCATAAATTATTTCAGGTTACAGTTTTTCTTTTGTCTAAAAACATGCCACTCAATTGTGGTGTTCGTCAACATGGAAATAACTCACAAATTCTATTTCTACGCCTCGGAAATACAGGGTTGAAGATATTCTCTCGCTGTCACTGTGGGTTACTTAGGCAACCACCGTTAAAACGTTTTTCCAAGTGGCAGCTTGAAAACTGTCCTCATTCACGTCTCGCAACTCAGTGTTCACTACTGACTTTAGGAATTCTTTACAATTATGCATAGTTGGGAATTGTGTGCGTAATTAATAAAATAATTCATACGTTTCCCTATATTGTGGCCACATTTTCGTCAAGATATTCATATTAAGCCCTTTCCATGATATACGAGTATTCAAGTCTTTAACTTAATCATGGTTTGCTTGCTCAATTCATCATAGTGATGAAATAATATCTGAACACCTCGAAAATGAAGTAAGACCTTCTTCTTTTGAAAGAACAAAAAGCATTTCATTACGATTATTAGATATTTTACGTTAATAAAAGAAATTCCAATAAAATGCTAATCTATCGTCCTGTCGTGATATACAATTTTGAGAAACATCAAGAAGTATGCTATGTTTAATACGTAATGATACACGGAGTTTGACTTACAAATTAATAGTAATTCTTATATCTACAAAGAAGTACTAATAGTTAGATGACATAATACTAATACGAAAGGGAAAGCGAAAATTAGAGATACAAGGGACTATATATTGATACCAATTATATCAAACGTTGTGTCATGGGAAGGAGAAGAAATGAATCAGCGCGTAAGGGTACTATTTTTTATTTCTGTCTCTTCATTGAAGCTTAGAACTGAAGGGTTTTTTAACAGTTTTAAAATTATAAATGTCCTAAAATATTTATTTAGGGTCCTTTGTTTTGAATATATGGAATGTTAAAATTTGTGTTAGGATAAAGATAGTGGTTTTATTGAATGATGTATATGGCAATGTTTTATTGTTCTTGTTTTAATTTTTATACCCTTTAGTGTTTATTAATTTTGTGAATGAATTCTTCACCTGATTGGTCAACATGAACAGCATTGCGGTTGCAAATGTCTACTGGTTTTGTTGACATTTTGTAGTAACTTTTGTGACAACTGATCAGGATGTACCCAATTGTAGAGGAAGGATGGCACTATAAAACGACCACTTCAATCAGGATACATCCCGATATAAGACTAATTAAATGATAGATTCCCGCTCAACATTTCTCTGAATTCAGAAGAGGCTTTTATGAGACATCACACTGTAGTTACGAGAACTGAATCGTTCTCTAAGGTCTAGAATCGCTTCTCTAGGACATGGCTTCTCGGAAGAGCCTCCAAGCGCGCCCGCCCTGCGGGTTACTTGTGCACGCGCCGTTGCGCCGTTTTTCAAGCGGCCTCTTGGAAAATAGCCTTCTTGGGGAGCCGGCCTCACCAGGCAAGTCTTCTGAGGACTTGCTCGCGCGAAACACCCATCGTCTACGGGGCAAATTCGGCACTTGGTTGAGAACGTGCAGTTGTAACAAATTGGATCGACTTGTTGATTACACCGTGTTTCTGGACGCGTCAACGAGTATGTGGATTAGTCCCGTAAACGTAATGCATGTTTTTTTATTACGGGAAGTGACGGTGTTCTTTTCCCACTGAAATGGTGAGATCTGGCGCCGAACTACATGTCGGCTTCCGGGATTTTCCCCAACAGTATATTTCCTCCAAATGGGACAAGCTTTAATTTCCCGACTGGTCTCCAGACATATGTGGAAGTGCAAGTCTGTGTATGTGTAAGGGTGCGGGTTTGGACGAAAAAGTGGAAGGAAAGATCGCGCGCCGTCCGTAGCCCGTTTGTTTGTGTATTGCTTCGATATTCGCCTGGTATTCACCGGGCAAACCACGGAAAACTACCGATCAGCCGGTAGCTAGAGTTTTTCCTCAAAACAGCGGCTGAATTCGTCGTTGCTATCTAGCCAGTATCCAAAATCTTGTCACAGTGGGGATTCAAACCCTAGTACCCCTCGGTTTGACATTGCACTGACATCAGTAGATGCGTGGAGCAACCTAAGGTGGTGACATAGTGGAAAAACAATTAACTAAGATAACAGGAAATTAACTGGATTGATGGATTGATTGTTAGTAATTCCGTTAACTATTGAGGTCATTACTCCCGTAAATGTAGTGCATTTTTTTGCTCATGGAGTGGCGGTTGTTTTGCGCTCCGCAGTAGGGCGGGATCCGACGCTGATCTTTCATTGGCTAACGAGCTTTTACTCAACCAGGTATCTCCCACCCGCGGAGCACCACGCCCCAGCCGAGACAAGCTCTAAGCTCCCGACCGGTCTCCCGGCATGTGTGGTAGTGTAGTGCATGTTAGTGTACGTGTGTGTATGAGATGAGGATAGGACAAAGAAGAGGTAGGAAAGATCGCGCGCGGTCCGTGGCCCCTTCGTTAAGCACTGCTCAGGCATTCGCCTGGTATTGATCGGAGAAACCATGGAAAACTACCGATCAGAGCAGCCCGTCGCCAGGATTCTCCTCCAGACAGCGGCTGAATTCGACCTAGCTGATATGCTAGGAGAATTTATCCTACAGCGAAGGCAATTCCACAAATCATAAAATCAGTTAACAACTTCAATGATGTCACGTAATATGTTGAAAATTTGAATACAGTTAACAATGCCAATGTGATGAGAATGAAATGGACCGTCATATTTTTACGTCTGAAAATATAATGCATGCATCAGGGCTTACCTCTTTGTATTTCCGTGAGGTCGCTGGGCTTGGCAGCAAGAAACAGCAGAGCTGCCAGCATTGGCAGACTTGCCGTCATCTCTCTGCTGCAGCACAGATTCGTATCTGAGAAAACAGTTAAAATAAGGTTAAAAATTCGTATCTGAGAAAACAGTTAAAATAAGGTAAAAAATTCGTATCTGAGAAAACAGTTAAAATAAGGTTAAAAATTTGTATCTGAGAAAACAATTAAAATAAGGTTAAAAATTCAGAATTTTCTTTGAAGAAAATTTAACGTGGGATGAATCAAATTTTCTTTAACTATGGATGTTGAATGATTTAAATCCATTGAAAAGTAAGTCGGGAGAGTGATTAGGAAGAAGTAATGAATACTTTTTTTGCCACACAATTCGTGAATGGTAAGGTGAACATGATTAATTAAAAACCAAGGAAACGTTGTGTTAGCGTTCGTGCTCTCGATCGAACACGAGTCAAATATTTTCAAAAATGAAAAAAAATAAGATCATTTAAGATATCAAGCTCTAAAATTGTTTATTATAAAGTTCTACGGAAACAATTCTGATTGAATTACAGATTTGACTGTCACTTAGATTTAAATTATATTCGGTTTGGTCCACGTTTTAATAATGAGAGACCTAAGCTCTGTTAAAGTATATTCTAACCACTCACCCAAAATCTCTTTTCCAATCATTTTTGTTCTCCTCTCTGTTTTTTCCAGCGTTCAAATTCACACTTATTTCCATGTCCAAGCATCCACCTAACTAGACGCACAAGTACAACATAAGATGACCACAGATCTCCATGACAATTTTTGAAATATGTTACTGACAATACTATTATAGAAATACAATAATTTAGCAAACTATGAAATATATAGAGAAAGTTTACTTGCACCCAGTAGAATTAAATTTACGTATTTATTTACTTTTAACTGATGATTTTAAAGATAACATTTCACATTTTTACTTGTATTACACCACATTTTACATTAACTTCCATTACATAACAGGCGTCTTCCATTTTATAATTACAGCTTTTAAAAATGAAACCAAATTCCAGGTCTCAAAATGCCGAGAAAATAATATATGATATCTCAACAAATTTTAATAAGTTTCATCGTTTTTCCAATTTAAAAAATTCTGAGTGTAACATTTCCCGAAAATTTAACATTACTTAGAACTGTCATTAATAAAGCCTGGACAAAACAGACAATATTTTACTAAAATTATTTCATTTTCCATCCATGTACTACAAGAAGTCAAAAACCTATTAAAACATTTGTTCAATTAGACACTATGTTTCTAAATACGTAAATGGAGTAAGACTACATCTTAGGACTAAGAAATATCTCCAATGGTCCGATTCCTGGCTAATGCAATTACAACCTGTAGTACGTACACAGGCTCGCTTCAAATTTCATTCGATACTTTTTTACTTTCTCACATATACGAAGGTATTTTGTTACAAGAGAAAGTTATGTAATCGTGTGCCGGACAACAGCAAATTTTTGGGAGAAAAACTCTTATTCCCGGGCCCTGGTAACGAAAAAGTGGATAAACCCTGTTGCTAAATATACAAAAAAATTCCTCTAACACATAATGTAGTCAGAATTCATGTTTTATAGTTCCTTAATACCGAAAAATCGATTGACGGCAAAAGTCTGACAATCTGTCTGCATGAATACGTCTGTGTTCAACGCTAGCACCACACCCGGTCAGTCGATTTTCTTCAAAATTGATATTTCCCGATGTGGTAAAAACTGGGAATGTTCCTCATAATACAAGCAACAAATAATTCCTTATCGTTCTGACCTCAGAAGCATTAATTCCAAACAGTGTGTTTTTTTGTAATTTTCCAATTTCGTCGCAGTCTGCATGTCACCGAGGTCCTTTGATACGAATTTCCAAGACTCGAAGGGCCGTTGTAGACTTGAGAGGTAATTAATGTCATTTCCATTCACGAAGTACACCGCAATTTTGGTGTCAGGCAATTCTGACGGCAGGCTGTTCGGCGAAGTGCCTGACGGTCTAATATTAGGCATTATTGACAAGCCACGCTCGATACAGGAATGTCGTAATTTTAACCCCAATTTGGTCACTTTTCGTTTTTTGTCGTTTTTATCCAAAATAGAATTTTTTCTTCTACAATATTTAGAAATATTACTCACTTTAAGCACAACCTTCTGGAGATTGTAGAAGAGATCTCGTCAAGAAATATACAAGCGTTTTGCCGTAAAATGACATAAAAACATATACTCGCGTAATAGAAGAAACGAAGGTTGAGTGTTTCTTCCGCACGAAATGACTTACCTGTAAATCTTTTGTATTTAATAATTAGAAATTACATGTCCAAACATTTTGAAGCAAATAACATCACGTACAAATAACAGTATGTTTGTCTTACGACATGCTTACTTATGTTGAACGTGGAGACAGTCAGGCACTGTCATCGTTCTCGTGGTGACGTAGTCACGATTTCACTTAAGTGATTATCACACACATTTTAACTGTTCATTGCCCGAGCTTGTGCGCGCGTGTGTGGGCTGGATCGATAATCCCCGACAAAAACTGGTCATCCAGTGTCGATTATGGTCATTCAATTTTCTAACCTTGGAGAGTACGACCATGCCATTTCGGGATCACTAATGTTAGATCTGTAATATAATCGGATGTAAAAAATGTTTAAAAGTGAAGATGTATCTTGGAGTGTAGAGTGTCTATGTTTTACAATATTCACGAAACTGACCCTAGTAAAGTAATATTTCATGTTCGGATTTAGGTAAGTTCGATATACTGATCTATTTAATATCTATTTCCATGTTAATTAATTTTAAAAATATTATTAATTGATGGCATGTGTTCGAGATAGTGTTGAATGAATTAATATCACAAATTATTTTCAACATTTTGGCGGGAAAAATATTGTTCTGGGGATACTCTGTGTCAAAAACTATACATTAGTTTTGTGTGTTTGATCATTTCTTTTCCTCTATCTTTACATCAGTCTGTGAACACACGTCACACTACGTCATTCCTTTTTAATAAACAGTTGTTAATGAAACAGTTTTACTTTTTAAGTAGTGTTGGACTTATCGAGAACAGGTGGCGATAAACAGTACATAGGTTTTCGCATTATTTGTAATAGTTACGCAATAGTATAATACTGTATGAAAGTGTAAAAGTGTTTCCAACCAGCAATTCCCCTCCCCCCGCAACTAAAGTCGAACTAATGCTCGTACAGTTAGCATTTTGGACACGTTACCACTACATCATCTGCCGGATCCCAGAATATAAACCTTGCAGATATTTAAAAGAAATGCTGATCGTTTGCATTTGCGATTTTAAAAAAATCAGGGAGCATTTAAATTACTTACAGATTTAGTTCTTGAAGACAGATTTCATTAAGAAATTCCTGGTCCTACAACAGCACACGCTTTTGCGAGTTATTTGTTACACTTCCGCAACATTATACAACTACATGAATTTGCAAAAGTGGTTCTCACCAGCAAAATATTTTTCTTCGCGCCGAGACTGGAACTCAAGGTCATTGAATTAACTCGCTATGCACTTTCCCGCCATCAGGCACGCTTTCATGCAGTCACTGGATTGCACTCACTTTTTGACGACATTTAAAACACTTATGGTGTCTCCTAATACGAGTATTTTTAACACGCAGTTTTCGAAATTTCGGAGAGTTTAACGACAGATCTCCGCCTTTTTTCTAAGAGTCCTTTGCTCTATTTATAAAGACAAAAATATAGAAATAATTTATAGCTATTTTGCAGAAAATTAATTCCATTAATTTCAAGCAGAAATTGATTGAAACCTACTCTTTTTTCAAAAAAAAATACATAAATAGTTTTAAAGTTCTGAATTTTAGACCAGATTTTACTTATGAAAAAATCTTCAATTTTATAATGCTGTGTTTTTGAAATTTCTGAAATTACAGAGTTCGCTGAAAATGAGACGAACCGATTTTCTACATTGGTACATTGTTGAAACTGTTTAAATTACATACACTCCATGTAAAATTACATTAAAACTATTCAAATTTTCGAAAGATAGCACAGAAACGTGTTTCAAGACCTTTCTTTGAAGAACAGATTTCATTAAGGAAAATCTCTATCGTCAATATTGCCGTTGCTGGAAGACACCGTAAAAAATTGGCATTTTTAAAATTTTTGAAAAACCTGGTATTTTTATTCTATCCGAGGACAAATTTTAATAAACAAATATGAGCCATTTTAGAAAAAAGTTAGATAATGTAGTTGAGGCTTCTTGTGAAGTATCCCCAGAAATAAAAATATACGTTTCAAGCTCGAAGGGTCTTAAGATACAATAGATCGGGGAAAATCAATTTTGGGGATAATCGTCTGAACGATTTAGCCCTATCGTTGACCACAGATAGACGTATTTGTATCAATCGATTTTTCGATATCAAGGACTCACAAAACATGGATTTAGACGGCACAATGAATTATAGGAAGTCATTTATTATATATGGGAAAAAGATGTATTCACTTTTTCGTTGCTAGGGCCCAGCAATAAAAGTTTTTCCGTTGAAAAATCGTCAAATTCTGGCGGACTATTACAATACACTTCTTACTATGTAAGCTGAAAAAGAAAAAAAAAGTGTTCTGCTATAAATGCAACGCGCGTTCTCTTCAAATATAAATTTCATGGGAATATAATTTGTTGAGAGAAACCCCAAAATTTTGAACTGTGCTTCAATGAAAATTAGTTATTGGGTGCCTCATACTTGAAATAGCTTAAAATTTTTTTTGAAATCATATGGATAATTTAACAGTATACACTAATTAATGTAAGTTATTTACTGAAGAAATATTGATATATTATTATTATTATTATTATTATAACATCAATAATACAATAATTAATAATACAAGAGTACTTCCAGTTTTGATACAAAGAAGAATGTTGAAAGTGTACATTACAAATAACACAAAATATTATACTATAAATTCTAATACTATTCTTCTGCCAATACTCGTGGTAGTGTACTTGTACAACATTGCCAAAGACAAATTAATTATCTATTTATATTTTTAAATATTACTTTTAAACAATATCACCACAAAAACTATTGATTTAAATTATTTTAAATTTAGTTATTAGTATTAATTATTTTTTAAATTTTACATCAATTGTATGAAGAAAATACGTTTTCTAGCATATTCCTTACAGCTTCTAGAATCACTAATCGTAGATACCTTTTTAATAAGATTCGAAAGACTATATAATTTAGTGAATAGTATTAGAAACAATAGTAATAATAAAGAAGTCTTTATTAATTGCGATAATTATTAAATAAGTAATTAAACGTGTAGAATTAAGAAACGAGCGTAGTACTTTGGTTTGTTCGAGTAAAAAATTTAAAAGAAAGAATTTAGAAACGGTTTTAGAAATCTTTGAAAATGTAGGATTTTCATTTAAGTATTTCTTGAAGTTCGAGGGGTCACAACATCATCCATATCGATAGCAGATTATTCATTTTGTTGGAAATGCTGAGAAAGGTTTGGGTGCCTAGTGTTGTTCACAGAAGGACGGACCCGTAGACAGACCCATGTAGTATGATGCCGTCAATCAAGTTTTCGGTATCAATGACCTATAAAAGTGAGTTCAGACTACACAATTTGTTAGAGGAAGTCTTTTACAAGATATAGATATAAGATTTTTTCACTTTTTTGTTACCAGGGCCCTAAGGAAAAAAAAGCGGAAAATGG